GCTTATGCCAAATGCCGTACAAATGTTGGTTGTGTTTCTTTATTTGTTGTACCTGGAGTAGAACTCTCGTTTCTTTTGCTGATAATTTAACACCCACTGCAAAGGTGCATGAAGCACCTCAGGTGTTTAGTACTTTTGAAAAGCAATCTTTGCTGTCTAGATTTATCTTCTCTAGTTTCTCACTGAATTACAAATCTTAGGCTTTTTTTTAAAAAAAATAAGACTACGTAGCGCTGCACCCCATGGGTCAGGACCCTAAGGTGGGTGGAAGAATCTCACCTGCTGATTTGTGATTCCCTATAAAGGTGCCCTATTTCTTTTGCTGCTGGAGTGCATGCATAGGGGGAGAGAGGCTGCCATGCCTCCTCTTACTCTTTGCATGTTTGCTGAAAGGAGCAACAGGTGAGTTAACGATGAAGAAGATTCCTCCTTGCCTTGTACCTCACTATGGTTTTGGTTGAGGACAGCAATGGTTTTCATCATAGCTGGCACCCTTTCTGCCTCAGCTGCTTTCCATATCTGTTTTACCCTCTTCCCCCCCTGCCCACGAAGCAGTCAGCACTGTGATGGGATAAGTTAATATATACCATATCTTATTAATGTTTCATTGTTTTATCTTGATGTTTTTATGAATGATGTACATTGCCCATGGATTGGGCGATTAACAAATTTAATATATAAATAAATAGGTTATATCTTGTGGTGCTCTTCTCAGCTGATATTTCTCGTCTCCGACACACAGTCTGCTGCCCATGGTCCTATCTGTGACACTGTTGAGATCATTCCTGTGCCTCCTGTCTTCCTGTCACATGACCTGCTATTTCACATGTTCAGCTTATAGAGTCTGGATAGGTCACTCGAATATAGGTAATGAATAGATCTTCTTTGTTTTTATCCCCACTAGCTATGCTGTATGAATTGCTGTATGAGAAAGTGTTTGGTATTGATGTGGGTAAAACATTAGAAGAGCTCATCCCTCCTGCTGTGACCAAGGATGGCAGTGGGAGCTGTGAAGAGTCTGATTCAGAGGATGAAAACATAGAGTAAGTCTGCAAATTTAAACTGCAAAAGGGACTTGTCAGGGATTTGTGGTTATTAACCCAGAATGAGAATGGAAGCTTTTTAATGTGAGGAAATTATATGTTTTGCTTTTTTGAAATTACTGTACATCCGTATTTTACAACATTAAAGACTTTCCCCTGTAGAGCAGGAATATATCAATTGCTACCAAAAGCAGTTCTGGGTAGAGAAAAGTTTGAGTCCAGTGGCACCTTTAAGACCAACTAAATTTTATTCAAGGTATGAGGATTTGTGTGCATGCACACTTCCTCTGATACATCCTCTCCTGTAAGTCTTCATTTGGAAAAGAATGTCTTGCTAAGGAGTTGAAGGATTTCCTGTAACTTTTCCATCCTTGTTTTTAGTTAAGGTAGATAGGTGCAAAAGGACAGTAGCCTAGCTTTGTTTATATACTGTCATTGCCCTCCTTTTGTGAAGAAAGAAGTTGGCTGAAAGACATCTTCATAGTTCATTGGACAACTAATATTGGTCACTGGGCTTCACAGTTGGGGAGGACTGGGGAAGTCCTGTTCAGTGCTTGATGTGTGGAATGTTTTTGTTATTTTTTGTTTTAAAACTTTTTTACTTTTAAATTGACTTATAATGATGCCTCTAAACTTCTCAGTTTCTTGGGATCTTATGTATAATTTCAGATATTAACAGAATGGGTAAACTAGCGCAGCTGGAAATCAGACAAATGAATTTGGGTATTGGTGGTGGTTGATAGGTTTTAACAACCTGACCTCGATCTCCAGCTCAGTCAAACCATCTTGATTGGGATGGTAGATACCTGAGTTCTGTTGAAGTTGGCATGTCTGTTTGTCTTAAATGCAAGAACTTCCATTGGATTGTTTCTTTTTAAATCAATTTAATGACTCCCCTTGATTTTTGAGTTTCAAGGGGAGTCAATAAGTCAGTTTAAAAGGAAACAATCCAATGGGAAGACTTGCATTTATTGATCATTGTATGGTTAGAATGGAGAGCGATAACTTGAGAGTGCCAGAACAGTGACCCTGTTTGTCTCAAAAATTTCTTCTGTACTGTACAGAAGTGAAATGGCAGCAATCCCTGATGTGAATGGATTGAAGTCTCTGGTGAGTAAGAAGGTATTTGGCTTTAATAGTGCTACATTCTCTATATCTGTCTCTTGCCTGGAAGGCTGTTAGCATAGTTATCAAGAAGCGCTTAAAGCTTCAGGTGTGAACCAGAAGTTACTTGCATCCTACTGAATGTAAGATTTTTGATGGGATGTAAGTTTTGCCTGATTTTCTCTCACTGTTTTATATACCTTTTGAGAAGAAAATGGTTTGCTTGCTCCATTAGTCAAGCCATTAAACGTAGTCAGAAAAGGCAAATAAATAATTTTGGTTGCTAAGCAGTGATTCATTGTGTTCTGTTTAGTTGGCATGCTTGCTGTGCACACCAGAGATGGAACAAAATAAGTACATGAGGCTGTTGCTTTGGACTGTCATAAGAGTTATATGCAGATACTTTCATTGTGCAGTGTTAATTTAAAAACTGATAAAGCAGGCAATGCGTCCACATCTTCACAATCCTGTTTAATTTGTTCATGCAGTATTGTTGGTAACCTATTGCTCTGGTTATTCTTCTTCCTGCACAACAGGGTCCCAAAAATGAAAGATGCGCTTCCATCACCTTGTCTGCAAAAGTTCTTCAGTTGCTCAATCCAGCAGTTTACCACAACATTGAATATGCCAACTGGCAACGATCAAAACGAGGTAAAGTCTAGCATTTGAGCGTAGAACCCTGGTGGAGGGTGGGGGGTGGGAATGAAGCATTTTTCTTGCATCTGCCAAATAGTATATCACACATTTTATTTGTGCTTGCAGATCAGCAAAAGCGAGATTTTTCTATTGCTGCTGGCATGCAGTATTCAGTTGGAGATAAATGTAAAGTAGGTGCTATTGAGCAAGTTGTCATTCCACTTCCTACTTTGCCTCTCTTCTCTCACCCACGCTGCCACACTCTTTAACTTAGGGTTGCCACCTTTTTCTGGATACCAAGCTTTGTGCCTTTAACAGTAGACACAAACAGGCAGAAGATCGGTAGGGGCATGAAGATGTGGTGGTGGTTGGAGAACATGCTCAAATCGAAGAGTCTTTCCAGAAAGAAAAGGTGGCAGTCCTATTCCTACTTCATCTTTCCTCTCTTCTTACTGCTCCTGGCTCTCTGATTCTGCCTCACTCTTTCTCTCCAGCTTTCTGGAGCAGGGTGTAGGTGAGCATCCCTGAATGCTTTACCCGCAAGGTTTGTTCACAGAAACTTAGATGCTGGAATTCACTCGTAGCTTTTGGGAATAGCTAGAATAATTTGTTAAAAGCAGGGTGGTGGTTCAACTGAAATTATGCATGTGGTCCTCCATCCCGCAGCAAACGTTGGTGTACAAAATACAGCTTGACATAGTTGGGAGTGGACCTTACCCACTCTGAATGGTGCAAATTCTCTTTGATCAGTGGTTCTGGCCTCTTTTTTGTAACATTGTCCACTTCCATCGTTTTGTTGCTTGTAACATTAAGTAGGGATTTATCTCCTACGCATGTGTCTGATGAAGTGAGCTCTGACTTGCTGCAATTTATGCCACAATAAATTTTGTTGGTCTTTCAGGTGCCACTGGTCTTCTGTTGGATTGTCTTGCAACAGACTGAACATGGCTACCCCTCTGGAATTTATTTCCATAGAAATTAGAAGTTTGAGTCACATAAGAAATGCTGTTTGGGGAGGGTTATGCTTCGCCACACTTGATAAACATGAGCTACAATAAAAGCTTAATTATTTTAAATATTGCTGTTCCACTGTATTTTTCCCCCTGTTAGCATTTCTGAACATTGGTAGGAGGAAAGGGATGGCCCTTGATGTGGCTGGTGGGATTGGATTTGGAGGTCCTAGTTGTTCTGCAACACTGCCTGTCCTTTGCATCTGGATTAACTGAACTGGCAGTATTTACCCTTTTCCATCATACGTGTGATGTGTTGGGCACTAAGCACGCAGATAGACCTGAGAGGGAAGTTGGGAATTAATGTAAAGCTGGTTTTGGCTTCTTGATAGATGGGAATATATTCCCCCATGGTTCCCAGGGAGCAACATGAGGACGGGAGGTCATATAGGGATATCACAGAGCCAGTTTGGTGTAGTGGTTAAATGTGTGGACTCTATTCTGGGAGAACTGGGTTTGATTCCCGACTCCTCCAGTTGCACCTGCTGGATGACCTTGGGCAAGCCATAGTTCTGGCACAGCTGTTCTCGAAAAAAGAGCACTTTCTGTCAGAGCTCTCTCAGCCCCACCTACCTCACAGGGTGTCTGTTGCAGGGAGGGGAAGGGAAAGGAGTTTGTAAACCGCTCTGAGACTCCTTTAGGTAGTGAAGGGCGGGATATAAATCCAATTTCTTCTCTTCTTCTTCACTGTAGAGGACTCCCATTTAAATGTGTACTTGCTCTTTCTTTCTCCACAGGTGCGTTTAGACCACAGTGGAAAGTTCTATAATGCTCATATTCAAGAAGTCCAGTCTGCAAACGGACCAGTGGTTGTCTTTGTGGAAGAGCTTGGTGCCAAGTATGTGAATGTTCAGAGTTAGCTATAGAAATATTTTCATGCAGTCAAAGTTGCATATATGCTGACATAGTGTTGTTGTTTTTTAAAAACTAATTTGTGGCTCACATCTTAGCCAGTGCTAATCTTCTTGCACAGAATGCTGTGAAAGGTACGGGTGTTTGGCAGGCTTTGTGTTTTGCTAGGGTTCCATCAAGAGGAGCTAAGGAATACTCCAGGCTAGCTTTAGATAGTATTTACCTTTCATTCTTTGTGAAACTCTTGGAAGCAAGCCACCAACTGCTGCTATGTTACTATGACAATCAAGTGTGTTTATATGTGTGTGGTTTTTAACTGAAAGTATGAAAATGTACTGGGGGAGAAACATTGGTGCAGTTACATCAGTGCTCAGGGAATCTGCTGCAGAGACATCATTTATATGCAAACCAGCAGTTGCTGAGAAATTGTAATACACTATGGGTTGTGTGCAGTTAATACTAGAAACTCTTCATTATTGTTGAAAGGAACGATGTTCTGTCTTGGCAGCCATAGGGCCGGAGGAGGATGAACTGTTGTCTTGTGTGGGGGGAGTTAAACTTTATTGCCTACTTCAAAGAAATATGACTGCTTGAAATGGCCCAGAGCTGAGTTTGAGGGTAAAGCTGGTAAATGGTGATGCTAGAAAGGCAGGTACTTGCAAAGGAGCCAGGCATTGTATTTGAAATAACCTTAGACTTTTTGGCTCCTAATTTTTTATTCTGAGAAAAAGTGTACGTGACGATATTAGGACTCTCTGTCTGCTAGGATGGTATGCCTCTAATTTGTGTGTTTGTGTGTGTTTACATTTCTTGTTCAAGGTATTGGAGTTGTTATACTTGCAGTGATTTTGTAATAGCTCTGCTAAAATGCAGCTTAGCTGTCTCTGTCATCTTATGGCTGGCTAGCTGGAACTGGTCTTTGAAAGGAAAGAGAGGAACTAATAGATCTCTGAAGTGCTCCAAGGTTTTGCAGCACTTAGCTAGAATTTTAAAGGTGCTTTAACATTATAAGCTGGAGAACTGTTGATTTTAAAATTCATGGCTGCTGGTATTTTTGTATGCAATGAGGAGAGGATTTGTTTGATGTGTGAGCTCACAGATTTACATTACTGAATGCTATAAAAACATAATTGCTATTATGGTGGTAGATATCCACTGGACCAAGACTGGTAACTTATGCAGTTCTTATGACATGCTAATTGTGACTTGGAGCTTTGGTGGATTTTTTGATGCTGTCTTCATTACAGGCATTCTGTTCTGCTAAAGAACCTTAAGCCACTCCCACAACCTTCTCCTGTGGAAACCTGGAGCACTGTGTCAGGGAAGAAGATGAAAAGGCCCACTTCAGTGCATGGGCAAATCGTTCAGACGGGTAGGATTTCTTCTCCTTTTTAAAATTGTGTCTACTTAATGCCAAGCAGAACAACATAAGAAGAGCCCTGCTGGATCAGTTCAGTAGTCCACCTAGTCAAGCATCATGTTTCACCCAGTAGCCCACCAGTTCCCTTGGAGGGCCAACAAACAGGCATAGAGGCCAAGGCTTTCCCCTGATGATGCCTCCTAGCACTGGTATTCAGAGGTTTGCTGCCTTTGTATGTGGAGGTTCCTCTTATCCTCTCTAACCCTCTTTAAAGGCCGCTATGCTTGTGGCCGTTGCTATACCGCTGGGATTGAATTCCACCGTGTCACCATTTGTTGAGTAAAATATTTCCTTTTGTTTGTTTTGAATCTGATGCCTGTCAACTTCACTGGATGTCCACGAGGTTCTAGCATTATGGGGAGTGGGAGAAAAATTATCTCTTGCTGTTTTCACCATTCCATGCACAGTTTTATAAGCCTTTGGCATGTCCCCTTTAGTTGTTAACCCCCTCAGTCCTAAACCTGCCTGTGCTGAATTGAGAGAAATGCGTGTTACAGATTCAGATCACCGAGGGTCAAAGAATCCAAGCAAGCCGATAAAAGCTCCCTCGGCACGGCCTCCTCGACTGCAAGGAGTCAGGGAGCATCACACATCTTGCCCTGGGCTGTATTCTCAGAAAACCTCTCCTGAGCATAAATCTCTAAGCAGAAATCCATCACAGGTTGCAAGGTGAATCCAGAGTGTCGCTTCAGGGACAGCTCTTCACAGGTTGTGGGTTGTGCCTTTTAAATTATCATTAGTATTTTAAATATCGGAGGTGTGTACTAGAAAGCTTTCTTTATTTGGATTAAATGTTAGGAATTTATTAATTGTAGAGGTAGCTTGTGGGCTACCCTTTAGTACTGGGTAATACCCCTTAGTTTTAGCGAAAGTCTGAACATAGCTGGTCAAGGGGTCAAAGTGTTAAATCTATGAAAAACTTAAATTACAGGGGGTTTTGTGGGGGGAAATTATAACTCAAGTTAGTTAAAAGTGATTTTCAGTTTCAGTAGCTAAAAACTGTTTTTCTTTATAGAAAGGTGGACCATGAAAGAATGAATGATTTTGACTACGCCAATTTTGGCCTTTCTCCAGAGGAATGCAAAGACAAGCAGTCTGTAGAAGAAATGTGTTCCCCTTATGAGCTTCAGCTGCAGGATGAAGAAGCCTTTCCTGCTCTTTCTGTACGTCTGTTTAACAGAGAACGCTTTTTGGAACACATCATTTTTTCCCCCTGCCAATAAAGTCAACACCCACTTCACTGCAGCCTATCTGTATAATTAAAGGACAGTTTTGTACAGTGTAAACAATGTTAATGGTGTAGAATTCTGTGCTAAACTTATAAATTATACATCAAGAAAAAAAGTTGTAATTTTGTGTTTTTGAGAGTATCCGGTGTATAGAAACGTGACATATTTTGGCTTTGTTTCTGAAACAAAGCTTGGCTGGGAGATGCTGCTTGGGGGTGAGGTGGCTTTTTCTTTTGTTTTGGAAACTGTGTGACTGATGTTGTATATTTATTCTTAGTAATAAAAGATCTGTTAAGGCCTTACAGCAGGAAATCACACTGCACATGGGTCAGAAACCAAAGCTTGGTTTGGATATTAATCTGTGCTCTAAGTGGAAATAGAATTGGTACTTAAGGCTACTAGGAAGCCCATAGGATTCAGTGGGATGAATCCTGAACAAGCATAAAAGAGAGCTCTTTCTCTTTCTTTAAAATTTCTCTGGAGGATTGGCATGTGTTCAAGCCATGACAACTGATAGCAGCAGCAGCCTGATCCGAAAAGGGCTCCCGTGCTGGATCCTAAACCATTTCAGGTGGTGGTACTTTAATGACTGCGGTTTCATGTAAAATGCTGGCCACGTCAATTTTCAATTTAACAAAAATCCTCAATTCTTTCAGAATTCATCAGTGTCTCAGGTATCCACTCAGACCACTGGTAACTGTGGACGGAGGAAACCTTTGGTTCCTAAGGCGAGAACAGCCAACCATCTGAAAGAAGAAGAGGAGAGAAGAGACGAAGTGGGAGCAAAAGAAGAAAAAGGTATCAGACCTGGCCTTTCTCACCTCCTCCCTTTGGTATATAAAAAGTAATGTTCTAAGTTTGCGGCCTTCTGTACTTCGCAAAACAGTGAAGCTATGCAATCTTAGAACATTTGGGCGAAGAGCTAATGTAGTGTAGTGTCATAGTACAGTTGGAGAGGTCTGGGCTCAAGTTTCCGCTCAGATCATGGAGAGCTAGTGTGGCATAGTGGATAGAGTGTTGGACTAGGATCCTTGGAGACCTGGGTTTGAATCCCAACTTCTACCATGGAAGCTCACTGGTTGACTTTTGGCCCATTACATACTCTGAGCCTGACCTACCTCACTGGGCTGTTGTGAGAGAATGTTAGGAGGGGAGAATGATTTTCTAAGCCACTTTGAGTCTCAGCTGGGGAGAAAAGGGGGATATAAATTTTAAAAATGCAAGAACGAAATGCGAATGCACTGAACATCATTGGGTGACCATGGGCCAGTCTTAGTGTTGGGTTTATTGTGAGAAGGACATGGGGGGGGGGGCTGTAAGCCACTTTGAGCTCCTTAGGAAAAGGTAGGATTAAATTGTGCTAAGAGTGTAAAATATCAGGGCAGTCTCCAGAAAAGCAGCTGAGAAGCAGTCTAAATGAAAAATTGTGGTATTAGACTTGAGCTGACAGATTTTCCGGAGTCTTTTCTTAATTGTGCTTTATTTTGCTATTGCAGACTCAAATCCGATGCAAAGACCTCTAGATATGAAGCTTGAGACAGAAATGCCTGAAGTAAATGTTAAGAGGTGTCAGGTACTTCCCAAACTTTTCTGTTCTGCAAGAATGATAACTCAGGAAGCAGCTCTGATTGTCTCCTTTCTAACCTCTAGAACAACAGGGAAGATGCCTCTGATCCAGCAGTATCACCGCCTTCAAGTCAGGGAGATGCACAATCCCCATCAGTTGAACAAGTAAGAAATACATGCCAAAATTGTTGCGGTCCTTTTTTTTGTGGATTCTGTTTAGCTTCTGAAATGTGACAAGATCAGGCTAGCCTGGGCCATCCCATGTCGATTTGCCTAGAGTGCCAAAAACCCTTGGGCTAGCCCTCATTGACGTGGACTTAATAGTTAAAAGCTCGTTGGAAGGATCTTTGCATGAGCCCGCCGAATTAGAATCGACACAACCTGAGCCGGATAAGCTCTTCATCAGAATGGATATCATGATTTAAAGACTGACATTCCTATATCAGGAAGAGAGTGTCAGAGAATCCTGCTTCTAAGTGAACATTTAATTTTGAAAATACTGAATGTCACGGGGTATAATCTTTCTTTGCTGTTTTGCAGACGTTGCCAGAACTCTCATCAGGTGTCAGCCACACTCCATCTCCGGTTTTTCCTGAGATGCATTTGCCTCCTGCAGTGCCTTCTGTACCAGCCATTGTGCCAGCTTGGCCAAGTGTGCCACCAACCTATGGGCCAACAGGTTGGAGAACAAATACCATCCCAATAGGAAAATGAGGAGTAATAATCTTGCATCATGTTTAGAATTGCTTCCAGAGATCTGGGTTTAAAAGTAACTGATAGTACAGTGCAAAGTATACTTTGGACCAGCTGTTGCAGACCAGGTTGAAGCTGGGGGGGCTTCATAGGAAGTGCATTTGCTATTGTGGTTTCCTCAAAGTTTGGTCTGATAGACATCGAGGGAACCAGATGCCATCTGGTTTTGTCATCAGTTTTTGCCCTGTTACTTCCTATAGCTTGTGCTCATATTCTCAGCTCCCAGACTCAGCTACTGGAACCCAGCCAACCATTCAGAACCTTTTCTGGCTGGCACTTTGGGATTAAATGGGAACCAGACAACTTTAAGAGGTGGCTGTATGAGCTCTTGCCCTGAAAGGGGGAAGACAGTTCTGACCCCTTCCCCTAAGACAGACAGTCTCTGCTCCCATTTTTAGAAAACCAAGAGTGCTTAATTTTTGTATAAGCCAGAGCATTAGAAGGGCTCACCCTTTGTCCTTGCAAAGGTATTGGTGGCACCTCCCCTCACGGCTTCTGGACTCCCATTTGAGAAACTCTGTATTATACATCACATGTTCAAAGTAGGTGTTCCAGTCTCCAGACTGAGCCTTGAGTCGGGCATAGTGACACTGCAAAAGTCAGGACAGGCAGTAGCTGCTAGTGTGGCCCAAAGGAGAGTAAATACAACCCCCCCCTCCTGTCTCTGAACACCCCAAGAGGACACAGATTCAATTAATTTCAGTTGCTCAGTTCTGTGAACTTCATGGTTGTGGTGTTCTTCCTTTTCCTCTTTCCCCTCCTCTCTCTCCAGACTCTTATCTGCCTCTTTTTCATTTCTGTGATTGTTTTTGAGGGTCTCCCAAGAGATGGAAGAGTTGGAAATAAAGTAGATTAGGGATGGTGGTGGTCAATCAGCAAAATATTTCCATGGCTGCCAAACCAACTCAAGTGTTGATGCCACAGTTCTTAGAATGTTTGCACTTTCATTGTTCTTGGATTCTCAAGATGCTGCTCTTTCTTCAGGTTTTCCCTCATCTTGCAGGTTTATTTTGAGGTCTCTTTACTCATTTGATCCTAGGTCATTTTGTGGGTGTCTGATCCTCAGTAGTGCTCAGCATTTAGTCAGATGTGGCATTTTATGCTTATTTTATATCACCCTTCCTCCATGGTGAGAGCCAGGGTTAAGAGTGTTGGACTAGTATCTGAAAGATCCAGGTTTAAATCCCCACTCATGCCATGGAAGCTCACCTTGGGCCAGTCACACACTCAACCTGACCTACCTCACAGGGTTGTTGTGAGGATAAAATGGAGGAGAGGAGAAGATGTAAAGCTGCTTTGTGTCCTCACTGAGGAGAAGCTTCTTTGGAAGGTTGGAAATGGCCAGTGGAGTGAATGTGCCCTTGTGGCCTGACCTCATGGGCCTTTATGAGGTGATCCTGATACATAAAGGTTGAGGACCCTAGAAGGTGGTTCACAGCAGCCTTGGTGGGTGGTCCTCCTCACTGTAAGAAGAAAGTGTGGGGCATTGCACTCGGAGAAGCTCTTGGGGAATTACTTGGGCTAGGGTCACTTGTGGCTAGTTAGACCAAATGTTTGGGCCCTGAGGAAGTGTGTGGCATTGGTCACAAGTTTGGGAACCGCAGCTTCCACAATTAGAGCAGGGATCTCCGTTTGAGCTTGTGAGCCACTGATAGCTTATGCATTTCTTTCAAAACCCAGGGGGGAAAAATCTGTTTGAACCTTTTTTTAAAAAAAATGGGTTTTTCTCTGTGCTGTTTAGCTGTAGCTGAATTTCTGGTGTTCTTCCTATTCCATGTTCTGTTTTGAGGATTGATCAAAACTTGGAAATGTGTTCTGGGGGTGGCAGTGGGGGATTGTTCTCATTACTCTGAAATAACTCATTAAAGAAAGGTTGGTGGTTTCTGTATTAGAGTAATCCCATAATTCATATCTTAAATAGTACTTTTAATCATAATGTTCCATTTTCTCCCTTTTCCCCTTTGATTGTATATCTTTAACATCCCCAGGTTTAGTGAATGTTGTTTACCCCTTTTTATCTTAGGTGTTCCACCCCAAATATCTGGGCCATCAGTAATGCCATCTTCAGCCACTGGTCTAGATTCCCCTCTCACCCAGACGACATCTAGTCCAGTTGCCAGCATTCCAGTACCGCTCCAAGCTGTTAGCCAGTCTCTAATGCCAATGTCTCAAACACTGAATCCATACCAGGATCCACTGTACCCCGGATTCCCCCTTAATGAAAAGGGGGAGCGAGTCATGACCCCTCCTTATTCCTTTTGCAGCAGAGGGGAGGATCTTCCAAATGGTAAGAGAAGTTTTACTTCATGGCTCAAGCGAAACATTATCTTTGTTGACATCTAAGCAGAGGGGGAGGGAAATGTATTAAATGGCTCTGAAAACCAGCAGTGAACATAACCTGTTGTAGAGTGCTTATAAATGTGATCCTGTTGCAGACCTTCTGTGGCTTTGTTCAGACATCATGAAGCTGTGTTCATGAATGCTGCTTGTTGCCATACTTGTGTGCTTCCTTTGTGTGCAGGGTACAATTTAACATGTTTTGCCTTTGGAAATGTTCAAGCAGTTTGCCTTGACATCTGAACATGGGTGCCTTTTAGAGTAGAGTTTAGAATCCATTTACTGGAGAGGAGAAATTTGCCTAGGTGGCTGTATTTGGGTATTGTGGCAAATTGGAAACCAGGGAGAGCTTACTTGCATTGTGTCTGTGCTAAGGGGGTGAGGTGGGGGGAAAGTTACCTTGGGAACAAGCCAAGTTTGGGCCCACTGTACACAAACAGGTTTATTTGTAATTTCTGAATGAAGCCTGTACTTCATTCAATAATCTAATTTCTCTTTTTTATGCCAGAATAAATCCTTATGTCCATATGAAGACTAGTAGCACAGCCACCTGTGTCTGTTTATTCAGAAGTAAAATCGATTGTGTTCAGTCATCTTTACTCCCTAAAGAATGTGTTTAGAATGACACCTTTGTTCATCTTCAATAGACTTTCTCTTAACTGGGAAAACTCATGGGAGTCTGAGGGGCTCTCATCCAATTGCATACATGGTCTAAAGCACAGGAGGTGCTAGTCTTGCTTGAAGTAAAGCATGTCTAGATCTGGCCAGTGCCTAGATGGGAGACCACCTGGTGTGTGTCCGTGCATTTGCTCCCTTGAGTTCTATGGAAGGAAGACAGGATGAACGTTACACAACTAATATCTGATTATTTGCTTACTCTCTATATGTACCTAGTAAGAGATATAAACTGATGAAAGTTGCTTTTAACTAAATGAACTTGGCTTTTCAGTGTATTTGCACATTGGTGAAAAATGCACCTTTTTGAATTAATGTGCAGTCTTTCAGTATAATAGCTTGGATCCAGGATAATATTTTCACAGGTACAAGGACTCTCACGCTGGAAAGTTATTTTCCTGCGTCTCCCCCCCCTTCTGTTCTTGCCATCTGTAAAAATGTTAGTCTGGTTCCAACCCAATGTACTTGTAACACCATCTTTTCTTCTAGTAAAAAATAGTAGCTTTTGTTTAAGAGAGAAAATTAGCGCAGTAACTAGCTGGAGCCAGTGCTTAACATTAAACTTCTCCTCTCGTGTTCCTACTAGTGGATGGGTAAGCTGTTTATGCACGGCCAATAGCGTCATATTTTGATATAGGTGCTGGAATGAAAAAACATTCTGTGTAAATAGCTGACACAGGTTGCTGCTGACTCTAGTTCCTTGTCCTCTGCCTCACCGTGCTCTCATCTGTTCACACACTACTTTTTCCCTGATCTGCGTCCATCCTAAAAAGTGTGTGTAAGCAACAATATAGCCAGTACAGTATGTCTTCTCTATAGTAGATTCAGCTCTTTAAGTGAAATGTGTTTAAAACCTGAAATGGTGAAATTGTGGTAGCGAACACTGGGATTTGAAAACGTTTTCTTTCTTTGTTTTTTTAGATAAAAATGTTCTCAGATTTTTCTTCAATCTTGGTGTGAAGGTAACATCTATATTTTCTACTTGCTGTAGGACAACAGATTACACGATTTAATGTTTATAAATATTAATTTTAGAGAAGTTGACACTGTCCTGTCTTGAAATTGGCACATATCAAGTATGTTTGGCCTGTGTGTTGAAAGTGCTTGAACAGTTCAAGAAATATTACTAAATAGCAGTTGCATGCACTGAGACCTGGATAGCCCAGGCTAGCCCAATCTTGTCAGATCTCAGAAGCTAAGAAGGGTCAGCCCTCATTAGTATTTGGATGGGTGACCACCAAGGAAGACCAGGCATTGCCACGCAGAAGCAGGCCATGGCAAACCAACTCTTAAACGTGTCTTGTTCTTGAAAACCCTGCAGAGTCGCCATAAGTCAGCAGCAGCTTGATGGCAAAACCCCCCCTCCAATATGGCATAATAGTTGGAAAGGCAGTTAGCTTGGATTTCAGGTTATGTTTAGAAATAATTCGGTGTGTTTTATTAGAAGATCGATAATGTTGTATACTGTGTACCTCCAACAGCCTACCCTGTAGATGGGTGTATTGTCTTCTGAGGTAGCACCGTAGGCCTTGTATGGGCAGCCCTTTCCCTGTGGATCTGTATGAGTCTACCAAACACTTACTAGACCAGGAGTTTAGCCACTGTGTATGAGAATGGTGAATCCTCCCTTCAAAGAAACGCAGGCCAACTGGTGGGGACCATTTTGCCACACTTGAGCATGGCAGCACAATCCTGTTTATTTGTTTAATTTCATTTACACGCTGCCTTTTTTTTCTTCAGTGGGGACCCAAAGCAGCTTACATTGTTCTCTTCCATTTCATCCCAACCACCCTGTAAATAGGTTAGGCTGAGAACATGTGACTAGCCAATCCATGGCAGAGTGGGGATTTGAACATGGCGTTTCCCAGATCCTGGTCTCCACTTGTTGGCTCTAATATGCAGTATTACTCCTGCCTAAGCCCGTGTCCCTTAGACTGTACAAGACTGCAGTGTTAATTGTGTGCTGCTCAGTCATAATATAGTAGGGGGAAGGTGCTTTATAACAGCATACGCTGGCTAGAGGTTACTAATCAGTATTCTCCTATTAAAACATTCTGTATTAAAAACTTTTAAACTAGATCTTGGTTAAATGAAATTCATATTTAATTAGAAAGGAGGGGCTGTGGTTTTGTGGTAAACTACAGTTTGTCTGAAGAAGGTCTCTGGTTCAGTTTGTCTGAAGACGTTCCCTGACACCTCCAGTCTACAAAAAACAAAACCGGGATCTTAGTTAGCAGGAAAGGTCTCTGCTGGAGATCCTGGAGGGGGTTAGGGTTAAGCCAGTCAGAGTGGACAGTACCAAGCCAGATGGACCAGTGCTCTGACTTGGTATAAGCCAGCTTCCTGTGTCTGTATGAGTTAGATACTGTTCAAAGGGTAATAACAGTTCATTTGTGTTTGCAGGCATACAGCTGTCCCATGTGGGCCCCACACTCCTATTTGTATCCTCTGCATCAGGCTTGCTTGACAGCTTGTAGAATGTACCCAAAGTTGCCCGTTCCAGTGTATTCTCACAATCCTTGGCTGCCAGAAGTACCTTTGACTCAGAATGGAAATGGAGCTTTACAAGCGGAAGGCCACTTTCCTATGCAGAATGAAGTCACAGTGAATGGCCAGAGCCCACATGCCGAAATCATGCCTCCATCTTTGCCCCTCTTCATACCTACTACTCAAGTGCCTGAAAACCAAGGACTGGTCTGTATAGAGTCTGAGAATCCAACACAAACACTTCACACTGAATATGACGAGTCGTTGGGACAGAAAAGCGTATTCCCACAACCTCCATTTGGGCAGAGTCCATTCATGGGACCTGTTTCAGTTGCACCTATTTTCCCTCACCTTTGGTATGGGTATCCCATTCAGGGCTATGTTGAAAATTCTGTGGCAAGACCAGTTGCTATGCCTCCTGAGGACACGCGAACTGCTGTGTACTTGCCTAAGGAGTGCAGTTCTCCTTCTCCAGCTCCAGCATGTGTTGAGTCGCTTCAGAAGTCCAAGGATGATAGCAGCATCCAGCACCTTCCCTTCCCTGTGACTACTGCAGAGGGTGAATGTGGTGGTCTCAGTGTAAACTCAACCGGGGTGCCTAAGGAGAAGCAGACTTGTACTGCTGCCCTGTCTGCTACAAAAACAAAGTCGGTACTGCAGAATCTTTCCACAGAGATGGAGAATAGCAAGAGACAAGCAACGTCGGCACCAGTGATGCCACTAACAAACGCTAATGAAAAGACAGACAAAGCTGGTGCAACTAGCAACCTAACAACCAGCCCGGGGGAAAGTAAGGTACAAAGGCCAAGGGAAGAGAGTTCTGAAGACGAATGTGAAGTTTCTGATCTGCTGAGAAGTGGCCGGTCAAAGCAATTTTATAATCAAACGTACGGAGGAGGTAGAAGACCCAGAAGTGAATGGAGCTACCCTCCTGGGAGGGGGGGATACTATTACCCAAGAAATGAAGAAGGATGGAAGGGGCCATCTACCAGAAGCAGAGGTGAAGGCTATCGCTGTCACCGCAGTTCTAGAGGGAGGCCATATCGTAATGAGAGGAGAAGAGCAAACATGGGAGATGGTCATCGGGGGCAGCAGTTCCTTTAAGAGTGACTTGGGATTCTTCCAACATGAATACTGAGCTAAAATATGCCCTAATACTCACATGCTTTCTGCTTGCTTTAAAGACCAGAATACCCTATTAATTTCAGAGTGAAGTGAGGCTGAAGGGGAAACAACCTTTTAGTGTTACTTTTTGTTTTAAACTGTTTGGTTTTGTTTAAATTCTTCACAGTTGTGGTTAAGAGAACCTGTGTTACATTTGGACTTTTTCCTCCCCCAAAGATTTGAGTTTGTGATGGAGTAAAGTAGTTTGTAATGAAACTTTCCTGCAATTGAGTATTTTGACACAATATAATGAACGTTGCACCAAATAGAATGTATATCCTAGCATACTGTATCTTGGGGCTATGTTATGCTACAAGAATTCTCAGCCTGGACTGTTGTCTTTGTGCTTCCAATCCAAAGGCCTTTCATCTCGAAACTTGTGAAACTTGAATGTGTGGGGTGGTGTTTTTTGCTTCAATGAATTACCCTGTACAGTGGTCAACCATTCTTGTGTCTTAGATGTTTTATTCATAGGGATACTATTTTTTAATTTTATAAAGTGTTTCTTGAACTAGTAAAAGCAATCAAGAATACCTGTGTGGAGAACTGGCAAGAAATTCAGTTTAGTGGTGAATTCTTCCAGGCAGTCTTAACACTGGTATGACCCTAATGGTGCCTATGCCAATTATGTATTATAAAACAAGGGTAGATGCTGTGCATTTCCAAAATAGTTTTGCCTCTGTTACAATACAGTTAAAGACACTTTTGCACTGACAAATCCCTAAACAGTTGCTACAGGAAAGATTCATGAAACAACTCCAGTTGCTTTTTTTCTAAAGCAGGGCTTATGTGATGAGTTAGTATTTAGTCTCTTTCCTTTATGCACTGTAAAGGCTAGTTGTACTTTATAAAATTCCTTGCTATTTTTTTTAAAACAGTGGCAATCTTGTAGAATTGGAGGCCTCTTTCCTATCTTACAATGTCAATCAATCTGACTGCTGCCTTCTGTAAGTCTGAGTTGTGTATATTTGTATATATTGGTGTAAAAGGTGAAGGTTACTTTTTATTAATGTCCAAGAGATTCTATAGCCTTTTTGAGCAGGAGACTTGAATGATGCCATGTTTGTGAATTATCTTCAGCTGCATGCTGTGTACTTCTGATTAAAACATGTTTGTTCTTTGACTTGTATTTCATTGTATGCATGACTTCTGTACTTATTAGAATATTTTAAATTAACAGGCACTAGAAATATATTTTTTATTGTAGAGCTGAATGGAAATTGCTAGGTACTGAAACCCTGTGCAGGCATAAGCCATGTCCCCCGTGGTTTTCAGGCTGTGAGTACCTTTGGAACTCTGAAGCAGGGGCATGTATATACACACGTGTGACAGTGACTCATGGGGGGAGAAGAGATTAAAATACACATGGAAGACAAGGAGGGGGGGCCTGCAACACCCTAGCCCCCACTGTCTCAGCTGATCCACTGGTCTTGTTTATGGGGTCCTGGATCCCTTTTCCAGTGAACGGTGGGAGGATTCAAATTAAATGTCCCTTTATTTGTGTAAAGGCAGCCAATCACTGGTTCTGCCTACTTTCCTGAAGTACAGGATGGAACCTGGGGAAGTGTCTGGGTGCTACATTACAGAACCCTGAACTAGTAAAACTATTTCCAATAGAATTAGTAGGGTTCTCATTTATTAGCTTTCTTTTTCCACACTCTGCTTCCAAGTTTTATTCTGACCTAAATGCTTGCATAGTCTGTTTTTGCCTGAGCATGAATATATCTTCCACTGGAAGGAGGAGTACTCATTTTGAGAAAGAAATAAACATTTGCCTCTTTGGGACAGAAGACTCTCTTGCTCAGACAATGAGGGTATAGAATGGACTGTATGACACTGAACGGCAGGTGATGTTCCTTCACAAACTCCATACAAACAAAAAACTAGCCAGCAGAGAGGATTTCGTATAGGGAAGAGAAATGTAAACCTCAACAAGTGCCTACCCTACCACTCTACTTCATTCTGTACGTAACTCAGACCTAAATGTTTAAATAAAACTGACAGCAGGATGATTTCAAAGGTTATTTCCATAAATCAGAAACTAGTGAAGTGCCAGATTGTACATCATATTCCACTGGAAGCAGGTAGTATCTGAATTAACAATATTATGCTTGCGTTCTGACGCAGTTGACTGAAAGCTAGCTAAAAGTAAATTTGTATAAAGGAATTCAAGAGATAGCTTCACTTCTGTTCCATACAAATTGGTAGAAAGTATTTCAATGGAAGACAGAGTACAATTTGTGTTTTAAAAAGTCAGGCCAAGTCAATAAAATTCTTTTGAGTGCTGAAAAGATGTGACTCCGGCTATGCAGTTTTAAGAAACAATCTCATTCTCATCAGTGGCTCCTAAGCCAGTGATGGCGAACCTTTTAGAGACCGAGTGCCCAAACTGCGACCCAAAACCCACTTATTTATCACAAAGTGCCAACACGGTAATTTAACCTGAAAACTGCGGTTTTACTTTAGAAACTTTATTTCTACATTAACTTAAGAGTAAGGAAAGCAATCCCAAATGCTTTCATTTACTTAAAATTATTTGGCAGAGAATTTGACACTTTAATGATAGTCTGGGCCTGGCTGGGGCGATGGCACGTGTGCCCACAGAGAGGGCTCTCTGGCACCCGTGCCATAGGTTCGCCACCACTGCTAAGCAATTTCAGTAGTGAGATAAGGTCACTTCATTGTCTAGTGAATGGTTAAGCAAAGAAAACTGCAGGATTGGAAGTAAAGCATAGTAAAAATCTCCTCCTATGTTCTGGTCTCAGTAGTATGATCAAGTGGCAAGTGGTAGGAGAATAATAAACTATCCAGATTACAGCAGGAAAGATCCCCCCTCAACCTGAAATGCTAACAAGCTCTATTCCAGGCTCAGACCACAGAGTACTGTAGAGGGCTTTCCTTACACAAGTGCAAATCAATAGAAAAGTAGGTATTTCCCTTCCTCTTATACCTCACACACTTCAAAAGTAACTCTTGAAAGAAATTTGCAGTGCTGCATGCTTAAATGTGCAGAATCCCACCATTTCAACTTCTATGTATCAAGTGAACCACACTGTCAACTAATAGACTCCTAGCTCTTAACATCAACAATGATGAAATTTAGCGGTAGTGACAGAATGAGTGTCTCCCTATGCCACGTCTTTCTGTTGCTAAAAATTAACTAGACTCATGTATTCAATAATCAAGCCAAGATCAACTTAAGAATGTCGGCCTGAAGGGTATAAAGAAAAATAACTACTTGCCAGCAATGTTGTCCCTGAAGGCAGACTCTGCATATTATTTGAACTGTAATAATCAGGTTCATCGACAATAGGTTTAGGTGGACATTTATTTATGAAACCCTCAGTCTGAGAGAATCAATTTTTTTAAAATAGCGATCTCTATATTTTGACATTTTTTGTAAACCATCTTGTACAGAAAACAGCTGAAAGACTGAAAATTGGAAACATGTCAGCATTTGATACATTAATAAGTTACATCTGAACCCAAATCTCCCCAAGTTGTGAAAAAAGCACATTGTCTCTTGGGATGATAACTAGCTGTCACTGCTTCGAAGTATTACATCCAAAAGATGGCCTTATCACTGCTGTGGGGTGATAGATGTTACATGACCATACCACTATTTTTATCTCTGGAATGAGCGCGGTATTTTAAAACCTGATTGCATTTCCTATAACAAAAGTTTCAGTTTTATAAACTGATCAACATCTCATTTAATCATCCAAGAAGAAGTAGTTTCCACTTTTCTTCTGTTCCACATCCTGGAAAAGAAAAGAGAAGTTAGCAAGTTTTCCTCTGTTGAACACTGATAAATTTATCCATAGCAGCACAAGACAGCCACCCCCCCCCAGGGCTTTTAGTGCCAACTGAAATTGTGCTCCTGTAGATCAGTGAACCTAAAGGAACAGCAAAGGAGGGAAAACTGGAAGTCCGGGGGGGGGGGCCCCTGGCTGGGGCGATGGGGGGGGGGATCATCAGGAAACTTCCTCCTCTCCGAATGGAAGAGGCATTGCATCAGAGGAGCTACTGCTGTGCTAACAAAATAGCAACTTAATTTGGACCCAAACTATAGATTTGTTTGATAGGAAAGTAAAAAAGTAACTTGTGTCAGAATTAGCTACGCCTGCTATTCTTACCTTGATTGAATTCATTTTGTTTATTCTTGGTCTGTAATTGTTTGGATCTCTTCTGAAAGTAATCTCAAGCTGAGACAGAAATTTATTCATGCCAGCCAAGAGAGTCTGAGGACTGTAAAGAAGTCAAATGTACACATTACTTTCCCAAAATTAACAACAGGCTTGTGATTAAAATGAAAGCCACTCTATACAGTTTTAATTCTCATTGCAACCACCAGGAAGATTAGTAATTTGACTCTGCATCACCTCACACTTTAGAATGTGACAAGTGCTAGAGAAGTGAGCATTTCAGCCACAGTGGGGTCATACAGTAATCCAAGCCAATGTTCCTGAGCAATGCAGGGCAGCACCGTTGGATGGATTTCATATGTACACAATTAGCTTTGTGCAGGTATTATACAAAGAATCTGATTTTCAGTTGTCCCATAAAATTTCCATCAGTACCAGACATTTCAATTATATTGCTAAGATGGTTATTTTCACAAATGACATTAAGAATCCCTTTGTTTTTAGGAAACACACATTTTCAGCCCACCTGCCTCCCATGAAGGACTCCAGATGCCTTATGATGATAGCTAAGAGTATCACCTTGCTCCAGTGTTAACTCAAATGAAACACAATTGCTGTCAGAAAAGAAAAACCAATACCGTGGCTGGTTGGCTTAGACTAAGCTGGCTGAAGCTGAACCCGACGAAGACGAAGGTCCTGTACGTGAGTCAGAGTGGGCTGGGAGGAGGGACCTGACTCCCGACCTTCGGTGGGGGTGCCATTGGTGCCAGCGCCGGAGGTTAGGAGTCTGGGAGTGCGCCTGGATTCCTCCTTAACAATGGAGGCCCAGGTGGCAGCCACTGCCAGGTCAGCCTTTTACCATCTTTGGCTGATCAGGCAGCTGGTTCCCTTCCTCAGCTGCGACGACCTGGCTACGGTGATCCATGCAACGGTCACCTCGAGACTAGACTACTGTAACGCTCTCTACATGGGGCTGCCCTTGTCACAAATTCAGAAGTTGCAGCTAGTGCAGAATGCCGCAGCCAGGCCGTTGATGGGTCTTCCCAGATGGGAACACACCCAGCCTGTGCTGAAGGTGCTGGTGCTTACCTTTAAAGCCCTATATGGCCAGGGTCTGACATACCTGTGGGACCACCTTTCCCCATATATACCCCAAAGAGCACTGAGGCCGGGATCCCAGAACCGACTGGACCTACTGGGCCCCAAGGATGCCAGGCTCGCCACTACTAGGGCCAGGGCCTTTTCAGTGGCAGCTCCGCACTGGTAGAATGAGCTCCCGGAGGAGATCAGGGCCCTGCAGGATCTCATGCAGTTCTGCAGGGCCTGCAAGACGGAGCTCTTCCACCAGGCTTTCAACTAGGAGCCGCCGCCCCCAACGAGCCATCCCATAGTACTAACATCTGGCTGCTACCACTGTGCTCCGGAAGATCATTGAGCGAAACTGTCTGCTTGTATGGTAATCTCAGCATGCCATCTTATGTATTCAATGTATTAGCACTACTTTATGAGGTTTGTTTCATCTTATTGTATTGAATTTTTAATTGTTTTATGTGAATGTACTGTCACCTATAGACCAATTATGTAAGCCGCCCTGAGCCAATTATGTACCCCGCCCTGTGGGGTAGGGCAGGGTATAAATTTAATAAATAAATAAATTTTAAAAATATAGCTACCCAAAGGGCCCTCTTTAAAAACTCTGCTTCATGTTGCTCCCTAAAACTTGAGTGGGTGCCATCCCATTACATGGGTTCCTTTGCTGTAAAAGCTTGAAATGGAGCAGTAGCAGATTTAACAAGTCTATGAGATGGGACAGAAGACCCTGAGGATCATGGGTGCTGCATGGATTCATATTTGAGTCCCT